ACCCCTTTCACAGTACTCATCTTACCTTTTCCCTGCCTTTTTGTTTGTCTGTCACTGCTACATCTTTGAAACACTCTTCTGTTCACCCTCTCGGCTTTTTGTCACTTTGATGTTCCTTCTCCTCTCTGTGAAGCCCGAAGTTAGCTAAAGGGCCAATGATAACTATCAAGACGCCTGCCATTTGAAATAAATAAATAAATAAAGTATATAATGTAAAGTCTTTAGTTATTAAATTATGGAGGCATATTCACTTTGCTTCCGCAACTAATTAGTTAGGTACCAAGTTGTACTTTCAATTTTAATTGCAAGGTAACGTAGTGGCTTTATAATGAGAGCGGTTCCAGAGTGTCTTGTATTTTATCCAACTCGGATGTTGTAAACACTCCTTCCATCGACCTTGAGAATAAATGCACATTTTTATTATTTGAATGTAATTAATATTTCAATCATGCTATTTAGATTTAATGTCTTTTACCAGTTTACACTTGAAGTATATTTAGAGACATGAATAATTCGGTTCTTGTGTGAGTATTATAGATTAATTGTGAGATTTATTTATTTCAAATGGCAGGCGTTTTGATAATTATCATTGGCCCTTTAACTGACTCCAGGATTCACAGAGAGGAGAAGGAATATCAAAGTGACAAGAAGTCGAGAGGGGTGACAGAATAATGATTCAGAGATGTGAAAGAGACAGACAGACACAAAGGAAGAGAAAAGGCAAGATGAGTACTGTGGAAGGGGTCGAATATGACATACAGTGGGGTCATGGTAGTTTGAAGTCAGAAGTCAACTGCCGGTTAATAGACTTCTCTTTGCAGTATGAGTATACGTTGCCCAGGGTGCACCACGTGGAGGTAAATCTATCACACACAACTTAAGTGTGAGTTGAAGTTAAGCGGTGTAAGCTGAATTCGTATCTATAAGCTACTCTTAGCACACGGAGAACCAGACCAATAGAATCTAAAACGGACTCGGAGAGAGCACTTCCTGGCCAGATCACGTCACGACTAGATAAACAGACAAACGAAAAAATTCCTCCACTAGTGAGAAAAACCAACCATGTTCAAATAATGTCCCAGTTACTGAGAGCCTGGTCATCTCCATAAATATCACAAATGCTCTTCAGAATAATTAGATAGCATTAAAAATACCCTGCTCAGCGGAACTACATAATCGAGGAAAGGAGAAGCAGTGGACAGCGACATTCTTCGACAAAGCCGACTGGCTAAGAATCGAAGCTGTTGCAGCATCTTGACTATGTACCAGACACGATTGCTTGTCTCCACCAACATACCCATATGTATATCATCTACAGTGTCCAGTCCTACAGATAACAGTAGATATCCAGAGATACTGGGAAGTCAGAAGTCAACTAAGGGTCTAATGTTAACTCTCATTAAGCCTGCAGTTGGATTTAAATAAATTTCATCGTTATACACCCAAACCCCAAAAACGCAACAAATACGATTTCCACTTCTGGAAATGAGAGGGGAGCGGTGGACCGTAAGGATATTAAGAGCGACCCCAAGGAATCAAGGTGTCTTATTTCACTTGATTCATGATTTATTGTTTCAGCGGAATCACATTTCAATAATAAAAAATTATAAAATCGTAACCTTAATTACTGGACTAATTATTGCTCATGATCTCCAATGCTTATTGAATGGATTTCATCTGTGATAAATGCGAATCATAATAAATCGAAGTCAAATCAAATGCCGAGTGATAGACTTTTTTGCCATACGAAGATACGTTGTCCAAGGTGCACCACGTGGAGGTAAGTCTATCGCGCACAGATTGGGAGTATACACTCAACCCACATGCCCTCTATGTAACCTACAGGAGGAAATGGAGAAGACCCACCTGATTCGATGTCCAGTCCTAAAGAGATACTGGGAAGCAAGAAGACGGCTAATGAACTGCTATTAATTAACTGCTATAAATGTACCCCCCACCCTTGGGGGAAGCTGAAGTCAAAGTTTAAGGGCTAATGATAAATATCACAAAGCCTGCCATTTGAAATAATAATAATGTGTGATAAATGCTGTTGGGCATTTATTCATTCATTTATATCAAATGGCAGACTATATGATAGTTATCATTAGCGCCATTTAGCTGAATTATTGCTTGACAGGGTTAAGGAATGCCAAAGTCACAAAAAGTCGAGAAGGGGTACAGAAGAGTGATTTACAGATGTAAAATAGGCAGATAGCCACAAAGGTAAAGAAAAAAGTAAGGTGAGGTGAGTACTGTGGAAGAGGTCGAATATGAAATAGAGTGGGGTCATGGTAGTTTGAAATGAGAAGTCAACTGCCGGTTTATTGACTTTTTGTCCTATGAGTATACGTTTCCCAGGGTGCACCACGTGGAGATAAGTATATCGCATACCCCATACCTTAACATACCTTGAAATATATTGACGTATGTTTCCTGTTTTTGAAGCATCTAATGCGTCAAAGTTGGGGTATGCGATAGACTAACCTCCACGTGCTGCACCCTGGGCAACGTATACTCATGCGCCAAAAAAGTCTATAAACCGACAGTTGACTTCTCACTTCAAACTACCATCACCCCACTGTATGTCATTGTCCACTTCTTTCACAGTGCTCACCTCACCTTTTTTTTACCTTTGTGTCTGTCTCTTTTACATCTTTGAAACACTCTTCTGTTCACCCT